CACTTAAGGGCTTGGCTTAGTAGGCATGGTGAGGATGGATCAGCAGTTGGACTACATGATCTCGGTGGTCTTTTCCAACCTTAGTGATTCTTTGGTCTTGGGTAAGCAGCTCTGGGTGTTCCTGTTTGAGCAGGGGTCTGAGCTGGTGACCTCCAGATGTCCTTTCCATTCTCACCCATTCTGTAATTCTGCTTCCCCTTCCAACTTTAATTGCCCAATCTAAGTTGAAGCCTCAGATTAGAGCTAGGCCACTAGAAAAACTCATAACTTCTGAGGCCACATGGATTTCCCTTTGGTAACTTGGTCCAAGAGCTACTCTACTAGTTCCATTACCATGGCTCTGAGATCAGCATGGTATCAGCAAGATCAGAAGAGCACAAGGGAACTAGAGAAAGATGTGCTTCTGCTACAACATCAACATTTTGTCAAAAATTGCAACCCAATGTGCAATTGAGATGCTTTTTTTTGTTTTCCTGTTCCCCTAAACCATGCCTGGTCCATCTTGGTGAGGTACTGGAACAGCCTGCCCGTGGAAGAGTCACAATCCCTGGAGATGTTCAGGAAAGATGTGGTAATGAGTGACATGGTTTAGTGGGCATCGTGGTGAGGGGTTGGCAGCTGGACTAGATGATCTTAGAGGTCTTTTCCAACCTTAATGATTCCATGAGCTACAGGTCTGCATTTCTTCAGCTGACCAGTGATGAGCTGTTAATAACCAAGAACCCTCCAGTGCCAGTCTCAGCCCCATGTTTTCTTATTCACATCTCCACTTCTCCAGGTCTCTGCTGTTATACCAGACCTGTTTTTCTCCACATTATATCTTTGTGCCTGTGCCATAAATATCTCACTGTATACAGAATAATGGATTGTTATTGCTATCTATAAAAGCCTACAGCTGCATCATACAAAGATAGATGAAAGTAGAACAAATTAGCCAAAGCCACCTGGTCAATTAGAAAAATTGCTTTTACAGCTCAGCCAAGTGAAACAAAGCCTCAGGCAGGTCAAGACAAACTCAGTCAGAGAAAACCTTGCAAACCTAAATCCTGAGGTCTCACAAGCTCATTTAAAAGCTTATAGCCCATTACCAGCAAAAGCATCACCAAATTAAGGTGCTAAGGGATACCAAACCCTCTTGTCTTAGAAGCTAACGAGCGAAAAAATAGTCTAAGCAATTTGGTTTTATTTATTGTATTATGTATCCTGTTTAGTTTTTTCTATTCTTTTCCAGTATACAGAAAGGCACTTTAGAGAGCTAGATAAGAAGCGAAACTTGCATCTGTCCAATATTGAATATCAATGAAAAAGGGAGAAAAAATGAGTACAAAACAGAAAAATAATAGCATTCTGCCATGTGCCTGGGTTAGGAGAAGCTAGGAAATGAAGCCAGACCTACAGGGCCTTATTCTTCACCTCTCATCCCCACCTTGAAATCTCACCTCTAAAAGGGCAACAAACAGGATTTGCTTTCACAGGGAGCCAGAGTGGGGAATCCTATGCCCAAATAGGAGACCAGGATCCATTCTCTTATGTCCAGAAACACACAGGAAGAGATTTAACCCTCCCGTGTTCTTCCTCTGATATAAGTAGTGTTTGCAGCACCAGGAATGAACTGCAGGGACTCCTTCGGCCTGAGAGAGAGCTTCCAAGAAGGAGACATAAGCCTTACTTCCAACTGATTGCAATAATTCCCACCTAACTCAAGTGTCCAGCTTAAGAAATAGAAGAAATTACAGAGAATACCTATACAAAACAAAGAGCTCATTCACATAGAGGCAACTTCTCGGAAGGAATTAGAGAATTCCTCCCCTGACTCACCTTAGTAGGTAAATGTCCTATGTGCAAGAGAAGGGAGAGTTGTACACAATCCACTGAGCTAGAAATACAACACTTTTTTAAGAAGATATCAGCTACCCACTTCCCTATTCCTCCTTTACAAGCCTGATGCATTACAGGCTAGCTAGAATCTGCCTTGGCTTGCAGAGATATCACATCATGCTCTTCTCAGGCTCATGGCAGCAAAAGTAATTTATGACCCCCCTGCAGTTATTTAAAGGCTTATTTCTGAGGCAAACGGATCACTTGTAATTGCAGCCTAATCCAGGTTTGGATTAAGAATTGCAATTAAGCAATTTATTGGAATTCCTCATGCTCCAGCTTGCAGCAGCTCAGGATTAAGATCGGGAGAAGCTGTTCTCAGCACTCGGGATGGGCACAGTTAGACTGAGATATTCCTGAGCCTGTGTTGTTCTTTTAAATAATGCATGTGCTTGGCCGGCCAAGAATATGGCAATTATTTCTAAAAAGAAGCCATAGGGCAAACCAGTCAGCATGTCATCTACTCGCTCCCTGTGGGATGCTAGTGATAGGTAGCTATCCCCTTCCTTCCAAAGCTGGGCACAGTGCCACAAGCTCTCCTTCCTACTGCACAAACTCGATATCCTAGAGTTTTATCTTTGCCTTGGCAGCCGTTCCTCTTCTCCTCATTAGACTGCCCTTCGTTTTGTCACAAGGATCCAGTTTCTTGTAGGTCAATCATTCCCTTTCCTTTGCAGCCGCTCACCTTGGCACAGCAGTACCACATTTACAAACACATGACATGGGCTAATGCCATGGCCCAGCAGAGCTTATTTTACAGCCATCTGAACTCAGCCAACTGTTTATGGACACAGAGTACAACACGGAGCTCCTGAAGCACGTATTTTATTAATGCCAAAACACAGCTGTGATTTCCTTTTACTAAAGGGGGCTGGATAAGAAGATATTCCATTTACTGCATTCTGAGGAAGAATGCCTGAAGCCCAGCAATGACGGTCTCACTTAAATATTTTCCTATCATACTGACAAAAAAATCCCCTTTAAAGTTTCTGTTCCATTTTTCCCTTTTTTTTTTTTTTCTCTCCTCCGGTTTTGCAACATCAGGTCTCATGGGAAGAAGGTGGAGGAGAGAGCAGAACCCTCTGGCAACCTTTCTTGTTTCTCTTCCTCACATCCCTGCAGGAATTTCCCACCTCTCACCAGCCTGCCAGCCTATAGCTGTTATATTTTCTCCTTAATCCTATGGCTCACCAGGGAGCAGACACAGAGTGTAAGAAGCAGTCCAACAGAAAATACTCCTTGCTAAGGAGCTCTTATCACACCCACTTCCTTCTCTGCACCGATTATAATGGATCAGCCCAAAGGCTGTCTCTTTGAAGAGCCTACAGGTGAGCAAAGTCCATGCCATTAAGCAGATGAAAGAGCAGCTTATGATGGAGACTTGGTCACTGAAGACATTCAAGGTTAGGCTAGACAGGGCTCTGAGGAACCCGATTTAACTGTATGCATCCCTATTCATTGCAGAGGAGTTGGGCTAGATGGCTTTTAAAGGTCCCTTCCAACTCAAACAATTCTATGGCTGCTCTTCTCAAGTCACATAATAAGTCCCTTCTCCCAAAACTACCTACCCTAGCTGCCAGCCCCAGCAGAAAGCAAGAAGCAGCTCCAGGAAATGAATGAAAGGCTGATGCATGCTTTTTGTTAATAAGCATCAATAATCTGTTGGCTGTGCCTCAAGAGTTTGACTCATGCCCAGGAGAAAGCACTATGTGGGAAGGTTGCTGATAAGCAGCAGCTAGGACCAGTTGCTGCAAAGGGTGTCAACACACTGGCTTTCTGTTCCTATCTTTTCAGGCTGTTGATTCTGTTCTACGATTCTGCATCAAAGAATAGCCCAAGGTGGAAGGGACTCATAAAGACCATCAAGTGCAATGCTTGGTTCTACATAGGACTAACCAAAAATCAGCCCCATTAGAGCCTCCAACTGCACAAAGGAACAGCATGGATCTGCATGAGTGGAGGGGTCAGGCTGCATGTTAGGAAAAGACTATTCACCAGAAGGTGGTGGGCATGGAACAGGGCCCCACAGCAGTGGTCATGACCCCAGACCTTCCAAAGTTCAGGGATTGTGTGGACAGTGCTTTCAGACATGGAGTTTGAATTTTGTATGGTCCTGGGTGGAGCCAGGGGTTGGATTCAACAATCCTTGTAGGTCCCTTCTAATGTGGGACACTATGTGATTCTATGAAATTACTTCCCCTGTGTAGCAGGAGAAGCATTGCTCTTATTCCTCAAAGCTATATGTTGAAGTGTTCTTACCACCTCCAGCCACAATATCCCACCTCATCCACCACCCCTCTGGGCAACCAAGCATATTCAAGCTCATGAAGTTCAGCAGTCCCAAACTTAGGTTTGAATGACCCCATGCAACAGGCAGGCTGGAAAGAAGCAGGTTAAGAGGGGGATCAAGGTCCTGCCTTCAGCTATTTAATACAGAGTAAATATCAGAGAAGGTCAAAGCAAAACACTCGGCTAAGGCACACTGAGAAGGGCCCAGCATCGAGTCATAAAATGCAAGAAGGGAAATTCCTACCAGACCTGAGAGAAAACAAACCAAAACCTTTAGCACAGCAACACTTAAGCACTTGGAGAAATAGCAGAGAAAGATTTCTGAAAGATCTTGCTATAGAAGGGCCAGAGCAACTCAAAGAAAGCTTGCCCTCATTGGAGCAGGAGATGGTAACAGAGCCCTCAGAGACTCTCCCATCCTCAGCATTTCTCAGAAGAGGTAGATGCCAATGCAAGTCAACAGGAATTTCTTGCTACCTCCTTCCCATAGGTTTAATCTCAATGAGCGGCTACAGCATTGGTGCTGTCCTTCAGCATCACATGGGATAGGATATATCAAGTCTGCAGACAATGAGACTCTCATTGTCAAGCCACCAGAGGCTTTTACATTACGAAACAAGAGCAGTCTTGAGCCTGTACCCATACCAGCACGAGCAGGAAGCATTGTTCCTGGTAGATTTACCTTGAGGTCTCCTCCCAACCAGTATCAAGAGCAAGGCTTCTGTGAAAAGCACATTAGCAACCCAGAAATTTACATGGGAGAGTATCACTTCTACTTGTTGCTGAAAACCAGATCTTCCTCTCCCACTTCTTTTTTTTTTTAGGGTAGGAAAAAAAAAGTGATTACAAAGAAAAATGAAGTTATCAGCTAGTATTTTTTCCTTTGGGCTACACCAAGCACCTTAGTCATCAGCTACAGGTTTTAGGTGCCTACAGAAAAGTCATCTCAATTGGAAAAACTGAACTGAAAGCATCCCTGAAAGGGTCAAGGAAGGTAATGTTCAGCTGAGCATGAGTCAGCCAATGGTGACTGCTCTTACGGATGTCTGTGATGGAGGCACATTCCTGCTCTACAGGAGCAGTGGAAAATCCCTTGCAAATTAGAAATTAGGCCAGAACACTGTACTTTGCCATTGTGATATCAATGGTGAGAAATCATATCAGAGGGAAATTTTTCACTGAAAGGGTGGTGGGGTGCTGGCACACACCCCAGAAGTATTCATGGCCAGATTGAACGGGCCATGGGCAATATAATCAAGTGCATGGCAACACTGCCCAGAGCATGGGGCTGGAACTTGGGTCTTTGAGATTCCTTCCAACCCAAGCCATTCTATGATTCTATGAAACCCACCTTCCCCAATATCTGGGTTGCTTGATTATGGCCACAGGCCAAGAGGACACTCCTCAGACCTTGTCACCTTCTCTCCTTAAAGCTCAGCTAGTTCCAAGGTATTGCATTGCTCAAGCCAGCAGTTGATACCTAGCCAAACACATGATTTCCCCACCTTGCTTTTGCTCTATTGAATCTCCAGTCTTTTTTTTTCCCCAATGAGTTTTTTTTTTTTTTTTAAACAGAACTTGACAAGCCCTACATGTAAATACAACCACAGGTTAACACCCTTCTGGGAAAAAAAAAAAAATGTAGATGCTTAATTTAAGCTCCTACATTACTACCAGTAACTGTTTCGCTGACACTGGCAGCTCTTCACAGTCCTGATTTCCAGAGCATCTGAGCATGGCCAAGAAGCCCTTCAGTAGTACTATAGCCCACATGCAGCTGCTCTTATTAAAACAGTTCCTTGTGAGAAACATTCACTGTGCTTACCCATTTGCATCTTGTTCCTTTATTCTGCAATAAAAAGAATATTCCCTACCCCTCTCAGCCCCCGGGGTTCCTCTGGAGTTACCCCCTTATTTGGGGTGGAACAAACTTCCAATAAATCTTTTTTAAAAAAAACAACAACAACAACACTCTTTTTAAAGCCAGGAAATATTTGTTAGTAGGTGAATAACTCAGTGCATTGGAGCCAAATTGGGTCTTTTGTGTTTGCAGGTACAAATTCAACATGGGGTCAAGGCACGCTTAGCAGCTTCACCAATAGCTGGTCTAGCTTTGCCAGGTAAATAAAGCCCCTCTCACTTTTGCCACCATTCAGATCCCTGCTTTAGAATTCAGTTGCCTCAGTTAAGCTCTATATAAGCTCCCATGGCTTAGAGAGACAGTACTGTTACATCCCAGCTATGTCACGGAACACTATTACACACATTATCCCACACCAGTACAGATGCAAGACAAAACTGCATTGTGTTTGCTCATGTATTTCTCCTCATACCTGAGGCATAGAGGCCCTTAGGAACCAACCACCAATGGTTTGAGATTTCCAGGAGGTTCTTCACTTGAAGGCAAAGGATTTCATATCAATTTCTGCAGGCAACTGAGCACATATATACACCCATTGTAGAGCCCAAACACAAAGCTGGAGCATCAGCTCTCAGCCGAACCACATCCTGTTTGAGCTGCAAAAAGGCCCCTGGCTTTCAATCACGTATTCAGAAAAATCACTTCCAGTTGTAATAGCTTCCAAGTGAAATAGCAATTTAAACACAAGAACAAGTGGCTGTAAACAAACCCGTTATATGCACCGACTACAGCAGCTTCAATGTCAGCACTGAGCTATAAGGTTTTGCTGTTGATGCAACAGCTTGCTTACACTTGAAGTTCACTGACAACTAGGCTACCTGTACATGCAAATATCACTTTTTTCCTTTCTCTGAAAAGCAGCCAACTGAGCAAGCACCTGCATTGTGTGCAATTGGTCTGTACCTTCTGCATGTCCACTGGAAGGATGCAGACTGTCGATTGCTACCACTCCCCAGTACATCTGCCTCCCACCATAGTCTCACAGCCAGCATTACACTTTCCCAGTGTGAAGTCAGTAGCTGGAGAGCTTATTTCTGGACCAAGATGAGATCTCTCACACACCAAAGGTTTGATCATGCAGGGGTGGAGCAGAGTATATATCGCTCATTTTCAGCATTCTACCATTAAACTCACTTTCTGACCCAGCACTTTCCCATCCCTCCTTCTCAAGGATGCAGCTGCTCCTTCAGTGATATTGGCTCCCTCCCAGAGTGTTTCCATTTTGATTATATTTGTGCAATTGCAGTTTTGTCAAATCCCAAGGATGAAATGGCATAAAATACCCTGAGATTTTCTCCCCTTTACTCCAGTGCATCCCCTGACCCAAGCCCAGGTCTTACACTGCAGCTGCCTGTTTCAGCACATCACTGCCTCGTGTTTCCACATCAGGATAATTCAGAGCATCTAAGAAGCACAGCACTTCTCCATAAGGAGATAGGATTAACTGTGTAATCTTATTAATTGGCACAGTTAAGGCTCTCAATCTTCTTCCAAGATTCTGGACGAGGAGGAAGGAAGAAGATACCCGAAGCACCTGGCAGCTCTAGGGAGGAATTAAAAGTTCACATTTAATTTGCACTCAGAATGAGTGCCACAAGCCAGTAGTATTTGCTTTTAACACTTGGTTTGTATTTTTTTTCTTTAATACAAAAACCAGCATGAACCGCCTACAAATTTGTGTTAGACAACCATCCCACCTCTGCAACAACTGCAGCAGCACATAAAAAAAGTTATTAAACAGCACCAGGTGAGCATGAGGCTAACAGGAAAGGTGCTTCCTCAGAACTCAAAATCCTCATCAGTCATGTCAATTGCCCAGGCAAACTTCTCCCTCTGTGTCTTGTTGAAGATCTTCTCAATGGGCACACCAAACTTCTTACACCTACGGAGATCACAACACAATGGGGAGACATTCCAAGGGATACACTACCCATCCCAATTGGCTCCCACTGTAGTCCTCCATGTCTACTTGTGCAATTTCCTTAAGCCCCCAGAGGAAATCACTTTTGTACCTTGCACATTTATCAACAGAGGCAAATTGTCCCTTCTGGTTTTAAGGTAAGAAGCATCATCTTACCTTGCAATCAGTGCCTTGCAAACAAGGGAAGTTGCAGTTTTGAGCTTTGTTGGTGGTTGGAGTAGATGATCTTAGGAGGTTTTTCCCAACCTTAATGATTCTGTGATCAACTCCAGAGCTTGGACAGGTTTCACTGGCCAAACACCAAGTTTTTCCCCAAAGGCTCAAGCATGTGCTTGTTCCCCAAAAGCAGGCAATCTGCACATCTCTATAGAAACATCTTCCCTACAGCATGTTCAAAGCTTACCAGGCTATGCTAATCCTGGGATCCAGGTAATTCAGCTTGGACGTGCCCAGAGCTATCTGTTTGTTCTCCTCCTTGTCTGTGGCCTGGACATTCAGCTTGGCCAGCTGCTCCTTCAGACGTTCCAACAGCTTCTTTTTCTTTTGCACATTGCTGAGGATAGAGAAAGAGCAACACAAGGAGCAGGTTAAAAGGGGAAAAGCAGCAGAAGTGAAATACAGAGTAGTTATCCTGTTTTTCTGCTTTTTAGGAAAATGACAGGAAGCCAGTGAGCTTCATCTCAGTGATCTCTACACCCACTGAATCTAGAAATAGCTCTAGAATGGCAAAGTGGAAGATTTCGTACCAGACTACGAGAGAAAAGTAGAATCACTAAGATTGGAAAATACCTCCAAGGTCATCAAGTCCAACCATCACCACCATGCCCACTCATAGATTAATTACTTGAGAAATAAGATTTTTTTCTTTTTAAAGCATTTTTGTACAAAGTTTGGGCAAGTAGCAGCCAGACTCCATGTGCAAACACAATCTCAGACAGCCACACTTGGGCTCCAGGAGGAGGAGTAAACTCAGACAAGACCCATGCTATGACTGCTGCATAGATTTGATATGCCACAGTCCACAGGAAAACATATATCAGGACTGTGCATACTCAGCTTCAACCCCAAGTTAAGCTCTCTATGCACCACAGCATTTGTAGGAGGACCCAGCAGTTTGCACTGAAGTCTAAATATTCATAGAGATGTGCCCTACTATAAAAGAAATGAATCTCTACAGGCAGTTATTTGGCAGTCCTACTGCTGCAGAGAACCATTCACAAAGACCTTCATCCATCTGCCAGGCTCCCATGGGAAAGGAGGTACCCAGAAACGATTTCAGTTCCAATTAGCTACGTATAGGGTATTGGACCACAACATTCCCACCCACAGATCTGGGCACAGGTCCCTCTGCTAACAAGAATTGAAAAGAATCACTCACGCCTCTGCTTTGGCATCTTTTTTGTCTTTTAACTCATCTTCAGCTTCTTCCAGCTCTTGTTGGGCTTTTTCCAGCTGTTCCTTCTTGGCATCAATCTGAAGTAAATAGAGTGAGTCCCAGCTCATGTCCGTCCATAGAGATTTCAGCTACCCTTACCACACCACACTGCTCCTCAACTTCTCATCAGCCCCACTGCAGCCCCCAGAAACAGCCCTGAGACTCATGCTAGAGCTCACATTACTGATCTCAGAAACACTTGCAGCACTTACTCATCTTATGCAACTGACCAAAGCTGTCTGGCTTACAACAACGTTGAGCCACAATCACAAAGGCCCAAGATCACTGGTAGACTGTGAACAAAAGAGCTGAGGACAACTACAAAAATCATAGTTTGTAGCATTTCTATAGCAGACCCATTAAAATTTCAGCTGGTTCTCCTGCAAGCCACCAAATTCTAAAACTTATTTCCATGGCCCTAAGCCATGCACTCAGCTTGGTCTGAAGACAAGAAATGATTAAAATAAACCCAAACATATTCATGCCATTTGTGTTTACCACATCCCTATCCCCCTAGATTGCTAGTATCTCTGCACTAATTAAAAAAAAGCTGCTATTTCTGATTCATTCCTTCATAGAATCATTAACATTGTAATAAAGATTACCCAGTCCAACTATCAACCCATCACCATCAATGTCCACTAAACCACTTCATCATTCAATGCCACAAAATTCCTTGCCATGCTTGCTCTATGCAGTCTCCTCAAGCACCGTGTTTATCCCCCTTCTTTTTCCCCATTCAAGGGAGATCAGTGAGGTGGGAGCAAATCTGAGGACTCTTAGTTTGGTCTGCCTCACCTTGGTTTGCAGATTTTGCATTGACTTCTCAAAGGTTTTCGGTGTAGATCTCTGATGGTTGCACAGGATGGCCACAGCTCGGTTTGCTCGGTTGTAGGAGAGAAGCTTTTCAGCAACACTGTCTTCAGCTGGAAATGAAGTGCAGCATCACTATTTGTTTCCTTTCTGGGAATTGGGGAAGGCAAAGAACAGACCAGAACATCAAGTTGTTGGCCTTTGGCATAAGAGAGCAATAACGGTGGTCCTTTACCAATTTCTACAACCAAGTGATCATGTCTCATCACTTGAAGGCAGGACAGAAACACAACCAGCCAACAATGTAAAGAAGAGGAAAAATTTACTCCCATCTTGACTGTCAGACTACCACTGAGCAGGTGATTTGATTTTGCCACTTTGCATGACTCCCAACCTGCTGCACGCACCCATAAGCTACATACCACTCTACAACATGATGCATGACCAGCCAAAGAAGAGTGGAAAATGGGGACGCCAAGCCAATGGATGGATCTCTGAGCCCACTGCCCCTACAACACAGCTGGAGTTACCACAAACATGATTAAGAACTAACGGTTAGTGAGGGCCTTGAGCTGCTCCTGCAAGGTGATGGAAGCATTGTAGGTCCTGAACACTTTGGCAGTCAAACCATTCATCAGCTTCTGAAGGTGTTTGTTCAAGACGGTTGTCTGGAAGGCAAGTGCAGGACAACACAGAGAGGAAAAAGGAAGAAAGAACAAGCAGATGTCAAAACAATAAACTTTTTTTTTTTTCCCAGACCATTATCTTCTGCTTAAACAAACCAATTAAACAGACAAGCTGTATCTTGCACATTTACCTGTTGGCTCACACTCTAATGAAGACTAAAAGAAACATCACAAATTCAGAGCACCTCTCAAATTCAATAGCTTCTGCCCACATATATCCAAGAAGCCACATCTCACATTGAGTATCTCTCACATTAATTGCATTAGATATCTTTGTTCTAAAGAGCACATGGAGCTACAATCAGACCAGAAGATACAAAAGGCCTATCACAGAGAAAGTTGATCCAGGCAACTTCTTACCTCTATAAAGTTGGGCAAGGGGCTTTCTAAGGCATGTGGGCAGAAGGGGAGTGTGGGGGGCAGCAGTGCATATCAAATGCTGAAGAGGAGGCAAGAGGTTTTTACCAAGGGGATAGCTTGGAAGAAGGTTGCAGCACATCACTCCAGCATGCTCTCACACTTCCACTGAGCCCCAGTTAGATGTGGAAGTGCCAAATGGGTGAGGTTTGACACCTCCAGCAATGCCCTGGGCAGCATGTGGATGAGCAGTTCCTCCCAGACAGGTCAGTTAGAGGAGGGAAGGAGCAGAAAACCACCTCCTTAGCAGGGACGTGCATTACTTATGGGTGCATACAGACAGCTAGGCCTGCATTTGGGAAATTAGAGATATCACCAGTGAAGGAAGAATGGAAAAAAAAATAGAATCGTGATTGAGATGCTGAAATTTTATGGTTCAACAAAGGGTTCAAAAGTAGAGATGCAAAAACTTACAGAGAGCCTATCAAAGAGGTCCTCACCATGGTCTTTGTTCTTCATGAACAGCTGCAGGTTCTTGAACACCTAGAGGGGGAAGAAAGGATGGCCCTGGTCAAGGACAAAGAGCAAATTGACCCCAGACAATTCCCTCATCTCCATCAGCCTTCCCAACCAGCAACACTCTGATTTGGACTTGCAGAATATACATCCTACCAAATCACTCACTGAATTTCAAGGACGTCCATTGGGACTTCAAGACAATATTAATGCCACAAGCTGTTTTCTCCATCACCCCTACCACTAGCATTCCATCATCCCACACAAACAGCATCACCTATCCCATGGGCACACTAACAAACAATGGGGCCTGCTTGCAAGTCTTAATTCCCAGTAGTCAACTGGGGAGATGCTTCAGCAGGTGTTACTTCTCTCATAGTTCGTGGGCTAAAACAGCCTTAAAAGCCCTAATCCAAAAGTTCCCCACCTCCTTTTTGCAGGCCAGGAGTCAACACGTACACATCCTTACTACGCTGCACCCTTATAGTAGTGGTAAGGGGACAGCTGGTCTAGACAGTCTTAAATGGAATCACAGAATCATTAAGGTTGAAACAGACTGTCTCTTGCACATACTGTCAATAATGGGGTCAAAACAGTTTTCAGATTCAGACTGGGGACTAATAACTATTAAATGAGCCAAGCCACCCAGTGAACCTTGTGCCACATCACCACACTGGCCATGATGTCCACCTCTGCCACACTTACTGGCTTTTCCACTGATACTTTGTTGTAATACCGGATGGAGTCTTTCCCAAGGAAGTCAAACTCCACCACATGGTCCTGCCCATCCAGCTTAGAGTGCAGCTTGATGTGCTCCACACGTAGGGAACAGCAGCCAACTGTGTCTGCAGTCTCCCCTTCTTCTTTCTCATTACCTGCTCTCAGGGCCAGCTGAAAGGACACACAAAGCCATAAATCAACCACTCCAGCCCACAAGAATTCTTCTTGAAATGGTGAAGTAGACATGAACACCAAGAAAAAGAAAAACGTGGAGCTAGTAATGCCCATCAGTCAATAAAGAAGTGGATCAGGTAAGATAATGCCAGCCTCAAAAGTAGCAAAGAAGCAAGGTGCCAAGGTGAGGCAACAGGTACCTTATCAATGAAGTAGAGAGCCACTGCTCTTTGTCGCTTCCTCATCTCCTTGGACTTCCAGTCAGCCTGGTACTGAGCACGGATTTTGTGGACAACATCCTTTAGTCTCCGGGCTACCTCAAACTTCTGCCAGTCCTTTTCCCCCTGGAAAAAGAAGCCAATGCATTGTCACTCAGCACCCCATCTTACTTCCATCCCCTCCAGCCAGATAGTTTTGGAAACACAACTTCCAGGGTATAAATACTCAGAATGCAGTGCCTTCTTGAGGAAAGAAATAATAATAATAACCCATGAAATGCAGGGGAAAAAAAAAAAAACAACAAGCAGAAACAACTCAACTGGGGTCTCGATGCCCTCTGCTGGCTGCACTGGACTCAGGATTTTCACAAAATCTGAGCTGCTCATTGTCTGGATGCATCTTCTGCCAACTTGTGGCCAGAATAAGACAAACATGGAGTCAACTGTTACAGCACTGCACAGCTACAGCCACCGGTTTTCACACACCATTAGTGTGGAATGACACACAATGCATGTACTGGCTGTGCTCAACTTGCATGCACTGTCCTTATTTGCTTTGAAGAATGGAAATAGTTTTAAATCACCTTTCTCTCCCCTGTTCATTTCCCTCCCTCCTACAGTACTACAGATGGCCATCCCACCTCCTCCTGTCCTCCATTTGCTGACACAAATGAACCAAACCCCATGGACTCCAGCTCCCTGTGGATCTTCTCAGTGCAAGCCCAGCTCTCAGCAGCCTTACCAGGATGCACGTGAGCAGCACAGCACAGGGACAGCTCTACAAGTAGCAATCTGTTCCTAAAAACAAATTCAAAGCTCAACATAAACACCTTTTTCCCCCTCTCACCCAAACACAACCAAGGGCATCCCAATCAATCTAGTTTTCTGCTTTTTTCTCAAAAAGTACGTTTTTTGTAGGCACGTAACATCATTCTATGATCTTCTCCCCTATGACCTTTCTTCCTGCAAAGAGAGGAGTGACCATAGAGCTCCTCACAAAGAGCAGTATCTCACTGACCTTCAGCTTGGAGCTCGGGTTCAGCATGATGTACTTTAAGGAGTTCTGGATGTTTTCAGTCCACGAGGCCAGCCAGGTGACTGTGTTGTCAAAGCGTACTTCCTTCCATTTATGCCCCACTGGTGGCTCAGGGATCTTGGAGTCCCTGTAGATAGAACAAGGATACAATCATTGGTTATACCAGATATCTTAGCGGTGTTTTTCAACATGATTCTATGATTTGAGAGATCACAAAGGTTAAGAAACAGGTTAGCACCTCAATAATTTCTTCACAGCAAGCTAAGGATGCCCAAAAAGTTGCATCATTGCCTGCTCAGCCTGCTCACAATTACTCCACAATGCTATCAGTCTTTATCCTTCAGATGCAAGGGATAACAGGAGAACTAACATATTTCCACTTAGAGGAAACGTGTTGTTTACCCCATCCCCAAGAGTTCATCTCTTATCTCAGCAACTCACTTGCTACAGTTGATGATCACATCTTCTGGCATAATCCTCTTCTTCAGCATGCCCATTTTGGGGTGATCACCACGTCCACGGAACAGCCCTGGAGGCTCAGTTTTGAAATTGCCTATCTTCTCCCTATGCCCATCAAGGATGCAGTATCCGTACTCCTCCTGGATCTTATCTGCCTCCTCCTTCAGTTTCTGAAACAAGCACCGTGTCAAACCATAAGACAAAGCTGAATCCCCATGATTTCTTTCCACTAGTGGAAAAAGGTAAGAAAGCACAAGGTAGTAAAGAGAGCTCAAAAGGTTAGAGAAAATTGATCAAAGGTCCAAGTTTTCTTCATACACATTATTCCTCATGCACCTTGCAAACCCATATGGCAATGCAGTCCCAGCATGATGCTAATGAAGCAAAGGTCCACCATCTTCTGGACAGAGCAGAACCTCAAACCATGGACTGAGGATGGCTGGTACCTTTCAAAGCCAGGAAATGTGCACTATTTGTAGAAAAACTTAATGAAAGATGTGATGGATGTGGTCCAAATGCCAAAGAGGTCCCAGATCAGGGCATAACCCACAAGGATGGGAGGCAAGAATGATCTAAAACACCCCAAGCTGCCCCCAAAGCATATCAAGTCAGTTCCAGGCATCATAGGAAACCCCAGGTTCTCACCTGCTTCTCCTCTTTGGAGAGTGCTTTCCGTGCCTCATTTTTGTCCACAAAGTACTTATGAATCTCCCTGAAGTCACACTTGTCCAACTGCTTGATTATCTCTTGTTCCTGAGGTGTCATCTCCTGTGGAAGAAAGGAAGAGAGCTGAGTATGGCACAGAGGGACATGGTGTAGTGGGCATGGTGGTGATGAGTTAGCAATTGAACTAGATGATCTTAGTGGTCTTTTCCAGACATAAAATAATTAATCTAGGTGGCAAAAACAACTCTGTAGTGCTTTTTGGCTGTGTTTCACCTCTGGAGAAAAGGAAGTAAAGATACACCAGTTCATAAAAAAAAAAAAAAAAAAAAAAAGGCAGAAAGATACAGCCAACCCAGATATCTTAGCTACATCCACCCAAGGGTAGATAAAGCTGTACCAGCAAGTGGCCAGGCTGCTCTGGACCCACAAAGAAGCAAAACACAACCAGCTGTGGAATAGAGCAGACTTAGAGCTCTGCTACAGAAAGAAGGGGCTCCAAGAGCATACGCAGATGGCACAGCCAACAGAAGTGACACTGAAGGGTGGGATGTGCACTAGGAAGTGTCTCATTTGTGCATAAGGAATTTGCCATAGTGCTGCAGGACCAGAAGGTTTTATCTTTGAGAGGGATGAATACCCCAGAGAAAACCTAGGGTCCATCTTGGGATAGTATCACTAAAACTCAGAAGTGCTACCTTGAGGAACTCAGGGATGCTGTAGACAGCAAACCACAACCCATCCCCAAATAAATATGGAAATAAGAAGATACATTTCCCAAAAGCATCTCTTCCTTCCCACACAACAGTCCAAGGATGACAGTCTTAACACTGGGTCTTAATGCAAGGTACCTTCCTCCAGTCATTAAAAAAGTTGTTCTGGAAGATCTCTTTAGTTGTGTACTCATGATCAAGCATTTTTGCATAGAAAGTGGCAATTTCCTCCGTGGCCAGGCTCAGCTTCAGGGGTTTACCTAGAAAGGAGAAAAGCATTAGCATTGGTTATAGGGACATCTCAGTCCAGCAGTCCTAGGAGGCTGCTTGGTTGGTCCTCATGTTCAGCACAGTACCCAGAGCAAGGACAAAGGCTGAAAATGGACACTGGCAGCCCACACACAGCTTTGTCTGTGGATCAACACTGAGCACTCAGCACAGCAGGATGCTGCCACAACCAATTTGAAATCACACACTACTTGTTCTTCTCCAGGAGAGTAGAGATCCTGAATTACACTGAGCTCACTGAGCCACAGCAAACTCTGTGCAATGAATTGTAGAATCACTACAGTTAAAAAAAAAAGACCTCTAAAATCATCAAGTCCAACCATAAATCCATCAACACCATGACCACCAAATCACATCCCTCAACAATGCCCCTCAGTCCCAAACTCTTGGCTTAACCGGACAACATAGAAAGGTTTGTTTTCCCAACTACGATCAGTTCCAGGTGCATGCTGAACAGCCAAGATACCACTCAGAAGTTTCACATCAAATCACATCCCACAAGATGTGGGATGAAACAATCAATGTGGAAATTCCACAAGTCATTTTGTGGAGGTGGCAAAAACCACCAGCCTCTCTTGAATCAACGAGCTCAGGAAACATCTTGGTTCCTGCTAGAAAGCAAACACTTTAAAAACAGCTTTTCTAGACAAGCCACTAAAAAAGCACCCTTCAGAGTCCCAGGGATGGTTCAATTCTGCACTAGATGCTGATTTTGGAGTGTTGGCTGCCACCTGAACTGCAGCAATAATGACAGCACCTCCCCAGATCCCAAACTAAAGAACCAGCCCTGATGCACACCACACAAATGGGTCTGCAGGAGCACAGAGGGGATCCAAACCCTATGCAGAACCACAAATAGCTGCCACACATAACAAAAAAAAAAATAAAGGTCACTGGCAATCTCAATGTCCTAGCATGCCCTCTACTGACTGAATTGCCACATATCACATTTTCTCATATTGGCTTTTTATTTCCTCCTGTTACAAAGAACTACAAGGAACAGGAAGCATCAGTGAGAGGCCGAGGACCAAGGTTCCATGGGACTGATGTCCTCCCAACTCAATTATCCCTTAATTGTAACAGACTGCTCAGGGTGGTGGTAGAACCACTGTCTCCAGAGGTATTCAAGAAACATGGACAGGGGGCACTGAGGGACACGGTTAGTAGGAAAAATTGGTGATAGGTCGACATACTTGATGTTCTTAGAAGTCTTTTCCAGCCTTAACGATTGTATGATTCTTGCTTCCACCCCTAGGAGGGTGGGGTTCAGGGCTGGACAACGGGGAAAAAGAGAGCAAACACAGAATAAACCAAAGGATGACAGTAGAAGGCTGCATCCATCCCCTCCTGGTCCACCTTCGCAAAGTTAAACAGAATCTTAAGGTATTGGCATTGATATGCATCGCATCACTTTGAGATACTCAGGGTCCAGCCAGTCCTGAGCATCCCACAGCAAAAAAAAAAAAAAAGGCTGTAAGCAGAGGACCAGGTCCCAAGTGAGGTTTACTCCAAGGAGATATTATGGCCCTTTTAATAAGTGCTCTGCTTGCCTCTCCTGTCTAAGAGGAGATACCAGCTCCTTGGCCATGCAGAAAACAACACCACGTGCCCCCTCCCAGGTTGAACCTACCATCATAATAAAATTGCACATCATCAGGCAGAGGCTCATAGAGAGGGACAAAGTAGGGTCCTTTGTGTTCCAGCTGTTTCCACTTCACCCCATCGTTTGTCTTCTCTTCTTCCCACCTGGGATAGAAGCACATAGATCCATGAGATCAACTCTACCTCAGTGTCTGGGACCTTCTCCTGAGCAGTACCACAACATATAAGTGAAATTCCATCACCCCAGACACTGCCTCAGTTTCCCCATTCTTCCAAACATGCAAAACAATGATCCAACCAAGGGAAAAACATCCTGGAGGAGGCAGAAAATAATGACCCAGTGAGACACGTTCAGTGGGATGTGAAGGAACTGAGGGAGAGCAAAAGGAACCATCACCAAACCCCTGGGGACAGCCACCAACATGCCACCCCGACCTACAAGAGATTCTCATTTTACACTAAAGATGCAAGGGTTAAAACGGACAGGACACCCAGTCCTGCCCATTAAAAAGCACAAAAACAAAAGGGATCATGGTCATCCCACCATCCCATACTGCCTATGGTGTGACCTTAATGCAAATAGGGTCTTAATGCACCACTCCCCCATCCCTGCATGGCAAATAGGATTTTAAAATGACTGCAAGTTGCAGCTGTAAAATAAGGACGCAAGTTAGATAGATTAAGAAACACCCTGGGGGGGGGGAAAAAAAAAAAAAAAAAAAAAAACACAAAACATTTATAAATATTTTAAACAGTATATTAAATAAGCTAACTGAGGTTTGAGTAAAGAGGAAGAAGCAGCAGGCAATGCACGGAGACAAGCAGGGGATCTGCACCCCATGGCTCTGTACATACAGGACACCCAACATCTCTGGGAAAACGGAACCAGCAGGAAAAAAAAGAATAGCAAAATTTTACCACTGGAAACAAGCAAGCAAAAAGAAAAGCGGAAAACAAAGAGTAAGAACGGAGTCGCGTTGCTCGGTGGTACCCCGGAAGTGTTTCAGAGGAGGAGTGTTCCACAGGAGGAGATTGCATCAAAAGCTACATAGATTGCATCAAAAAGCGTGTTGTGCCAGGAAAATAAAAATATATGGGAAAAAAAAAAAAAATATATATATATATATATAAGATATTTAGGAAACTATAGAGATATACACATTAAATCAACAGGCTGCAGAAAACGTGGCTGAAAGCGCCGCTGAGAGGCTAGCAGTGATTTGCAGAGCGCTGTAATGCCTCTACCTCTCCTCCCCCCAAACCCATGCAACCCGCCGGCCAAGCAAAGCAAATCCCTGTACTCACCTGCTGTAGCCCCCTGACCCTGCACGAAAGGCAGTGGGGATGAACGGAGGGCGAGGGACCCCTCGGCCAAGCAGCGAGGTGGCCAAACACCGATACATCCCACCCACAGCCCACAGAGGTGGTCACCCCCAGCATCATGTCCCAAGCACCCTGCTACCCGCTGGGGCACGCTGGCATTACCCAAAGCATTGCCATGAGAAGAAAACACCCGCTGTTGGTTGGGGTTGTGGCACTTCCCCCCACGTGTCGGAGCAATGGGGCCTTGTGGGAAATGTAGTTCTGTGTGTTCGTGTGCATGCTTTGAGGCAATTCAGCCTAATGCACGACTTAAGCAATGTAGCAGGCACTGCTTTTTATGAAACATATTTTTCTTCTTTAAAAAAATCTACTTTCAAAACACACTGTGCCCTACAAAATCATTTCCTAAGGTCTGGGGTTGTTGGAACTAAATGATCTTAAGACATCCTTTCCAACCAAAGTCGTACTATCGTTATATGATTTGGATGACACCCATGAGCATCCCTGTCTGGGATAACTGGGATAATGCCCAGCAGCTCCATACAGCCCAGGGCTTGTGATAGGCTGGAAAGGGGTTTGTTGATCACCTCCTTTCACCAGCCATGAGCACCTACCTTGCTTGGTTGTACATCAGCAAAGCCAGTTCAGGAGGAATTCTTATAGTAGTATGTACCATAAAAATATCATATGAATACTATTATGTTGTCACAACCTCCTGTTATCTCTCACACTCTTCTTCTTGCCCAAAGCATCAAGTTCAGGACTTCGGAAAATACAGCCACACAATTAATAAAAATATTAATAAAAAATAGAAAAGCTTCAGTTTTATCCTAAGAAATAAAACTAAAAGCCTCATTATACTCAAGTTAAATTTGTTCAGAGGACAAACACATGCAATATGCTTACCATTTCCACTTGTTTTCTGTTCCTTCTTTCTTCTCTTTTTCTTTTATCTCCTTTTTAACCCTTTTGTTGTTATTCTCCTCTCCTTCATCCTTAGATTTTCTTTTCTGGGTTTTCTTTGGGGTCTCTTCCTCTTTGCCTTTCTTCCCCTTCTCTTTGTCTTTCTTCCCCTTCTCTTTGTCTTTCTTTTTCTCTTTTGGCTTTTTCTCCTTATCTTTCTGCTTTTCCCCTAGTACATCTCCATTCTCCTCCTCCTTATCCTCAGTCTCCATGCTCTGAATCTGCCCCCATCCCTTTTCTCCCTGTTCATCCACCTCCTCCTCCTTTATTCCTTTTCCATCTTCACTTTCCTTTTCTTCGTCTCTCACTCCTAATTCCTCACCCAAGCTTTCCAGCTCTTGTTTCTCTTCCACCTTTTTTTCCTTTTTTATTTTCTTCCTCCCCTGCTCCTCCTCCTCCTCCTCCTCCTCCACTTTTACCTTCTTGCGCTTCTCCCCTCTCCCTTTCTGCTTTTCCCTCTCATCAGCCCTTCCCCGCGTGCTGCTGCTCCCTTGCTTGGCTTTATCCTGTCTAACTCCACAATTCCTGTCCCCATCAGCACCATCTTCTTCCCTGATGTCCTCCATCACATTCCCAAGGCTTTCCTCTAACTTATCCTTTTTGGTCCCTCCATTTCTCAACAAATTCTCCCTCTGCTTCTTTGGCTCTTGCTTCTTCTCTGTTTGTTTTTTTCTTTTCATGCCTCTGGCATCCCCTTTCTGCATTGGAACGTGAGGGTCTAGCTCATTTTCCACACTCTCCATCAAAGCAGTGACCTCCACAGCCAACCTTGAAGCCCCAGGCTCTCCAGAGAGGAATTCAGCTACACCATTATCACCTCTACTTGGCTTGAGGAGCTGCAGGAAGCAAAAAACAGGGGAAAAAAAGGTTGACATTGGGAAAGGAGACAAAGCAAACAGATGCGTAGAGGAGGAGCATACCACACAAGATTGGGTTTGGGGAACCATGGTCATCCCACAGCTTTCCTACCCCAACTTCATCCTCTGCTTCTGAGAGCTGCTGTCCCACTGCAGGTCCCTCTCTCGGGGATTTACTCTTTGACCTGTAATAAACACACAGCTTCTTCTCATAGCAGAATGGCTGAGGAATGGAATGGACCTCTTTGTCCATCTGGTCCAAGCCCTGCTCAAGTAAGAGCAAGTTGCCCAGAAACAAAATTTTAGGCAAAATAGGAAGGACATGGAACTATCAAAAAGCATCCAAAGGAAGACCATGAAGATCAGGAAGGATCTAAAGGGGCAATACATAAAAAAAGCAGCCAAAATCACTGTGTTTGTTCAGCCCAGAGCAGAGGAGGCTGAGGGACACCTCATAGCAGCCTACAACTCCCCAGAGGGACAGTGCTGAGCTCTGTTCTCTGGTGACAGTGACAGAACCAGAGGGAATGGCATGAAGCTGTGACCCTATGGAGAGGATCAAGCAGATGTTAGGATATTCACCAGAGTGGTGGGCATGAAATAGGCACCCAAGGGCAACAATCACAGCCCCAAACTGTCACAGTTTAAGGAGTGTTGTGACAATGCTCTCAAATAATAGGATTTGGATTTTGAGTAGTCCTGCATGGAGCCAGGAATTGGTCTCTATGAGTCTCTTCCAACTTGCAACATTCTGTGATTCTCAGCTTCTCCACCCAGCAGAGCTGCTCCAGGTCAAGAAGCATCTTTGAGGCTCTTCATTAGACCCTATCAAATATATTCAGGTCTCTCTTGTACTGGGGAGCACAGAATTTATCAAGATGCAGCCTCTGCATCTTACATAGGGAAAAAAAAAAAAAGGATTGCTCCTGAACATGTTCACATCTTCTCCAGCACAGCAGCACCCCATGCTGCAGCAGATGAAGATAACCCAAAGCAGCAGAAAGCAGCCTTCATAGGAATAGGATGGCCTGTTTGCAGCTTACAGCGTGACATTTCCCCTGATAGGACAAGAGGAAATGTTTTCAAACTAAAAGAGGGGACATTTAGACTGAATGTAAGGAAGAAGGTTTTGTTTGTTTTCTCTTTTACAGTAAGGGTAGTGAAGCACTGGAACAGGTTACCCAGTGAGGTAGTGGATGTCTCATCCTTGGAGACATTCAAGGTCAGGCTGGACTGGGCTCTGAGCACCTGCCTGAACTGTAGATGTCTCTGTTCACCATAGGGGGAGTTGGACTAGATGACCTTTAAGAGGCCCTTCCAACTCAAACAATTTTATGACAAAGCTCAAATGAGCAGGACCACGAGAACTCCTGATCAAGCATAGACACATCACACCCACGGACATCTCCAAGAACACCTCTGCCTAGTGAACAGGACAGTTCTGCAGGGTTTGGTGAATAAAGAAGCACATGGAAGTGGCATCTGAACACCATGGAAACACTGGAGGAAGTGGTGGCATTTGGGTAAGACAGACTGAAGACAGCTGTCTTGCTGAAGACTGAGGATTTGCAGACAGACACCCTCATATCCCTCTTCACAAGGGGAACAGAGGGTCAGCATGATGAGGAAGTACACAACCCCTTTAATCAAAATATGCTGCAGGATGACAAGGAGCATCCAGATCCGTGATCTCCACTGGCAGCAACATGGGTGGGGGAAACAAAAACATTTTTATCAGTCAAAGACATCAGGTGAATTTTTGGAAGCTCCATGGTATGTGCCAACACCATAAAGAACCAACTTTCCTATATAAAGAATGCTGGAGCATACACCAAGCAAAGTCAGTTTCAACAATAGGAGGGAGATGTTACACTAATTTCTAGGAGAGCAGTGCTAAGTTACTGGACTGCAGGACTCTAGAGCAAACCAGGCTTCCAGAAAACCTTTTGCTCAGGGTGGAGGAGAAAATGCCCCAGAAAGGCAACAGCTTGAGGATCAGCACTGGCAGCCTGTTCTGCATCAGGGAGGAATAACCCTAGCTGCTGGCATCAACACTTCATCACAGCAAGCCATTGGATGGGGTCTTCCCACCCGGCCTTCAGATCCCTACGAAGAGTCAGCATTCCCACTCTTCACCAGCAGTACCTCATGTTTCCCTGACATATCAAACTCAAGACCCTAAATAGCTCTCCCATGTCCCACTAGGCTGCCCCATGGAGAATGCACAGCCTACAGACAAGCTGAAGTATGGCTTTGCAGTCAAATCCCTGGAGAAGAACTTGTTTTCCCACAGCCCAAGCCCCAAAGCAGCTCCGGGGAAATAACGCCAGGGAGATGGCCCAGTCTGGATGCATTTTTGGAGTATTGCACAATTTTCACTAAACTCATTAGTGCAAATAGCTAGGCAAAACACACTTCAATATTATTAGGAGCCAGTTGATTTGTGACTCAGAGGGCAAAGTCTCGCAGCCTTTTCAGAGGAGATCCTTCCCCAGAAGGTCTTATTAGAGGCTTCTCACTGGACATGAAAGCCCCTGCCTTTGTAAGGTAGAGAGGATCAGCCTGCTGAAGGCCAGCATTATGAATGCAGGTTCCTATCTCTACCCAGATCTAGCATAGGGAGAGGGATAGAAACACCCTTTTCCCAGGCATTGTGAGACTGCTTGTCCCCCCTAGTGTTTCCTCACCGCCTACCTTCCACATTTATGTAGGTATGTGCAGCCAAGCAGTTGTGTCTTGCTGACTTGAGCATCCTTCTATACTTTGAGAGGTCAGATCAGGCCAGGAGCCTCCCACATCCACTCAAAGCCCAGGATACACACCCAAATTCTACTTGCATTGTTTTCTGGCCATCTCTGGGGGCCATCAGAGGCACCAATACACATCCAAGCCCCACAAAGGCATAAATAGTTGGGTAGTCTCAATGATAAAGGAGATAAAGGGTAAGTTTCCATTTCTCTGCACAAAAAAGAAAAAATCAAAAATAAAAATAAATTAAAAAAAAAAAATCAAGAAAACATCCTGATTTACCTGAAGGAGTCCTTCAGTCCCACTGATGACCCTTGGTGGAGGGTGGAATCAGTTTCCTCCTGGAAGGGATTAACAGCATTGATGCAGCAAGGGGTTAAAAAGGCAGACTTTGCATGAGTATCCCAACAGCAGCACTGCCCCCAAGCAGTCACCCAGCTCCTTTGACAGCAGCCACCCAGGCCATGGTCCCTGCATCCCACTAATATCCCCTTCCTCAGCCACCTCTTCTAGAAACCCACAGCCCAAAACAGTGAGCATAAATTAGCCTGATTTCTCCAAACATGGAGGCACTTTTGACATTTTATTAGGTTTGGAAAACCATATCTTAACTTCACTGCTAAAAAGGTATTTTTGTAGAGCACAGCCACAAAAAAAATCATCTGTTTTATCCATATGCTTATTAGATGTATTGCTGTTACTGGGGACAGTGGGCCAGGATGCCAGAAAGATGGGAGAAAAAAAAAAGATGCTTCTAATCACAGCTTATGTACATTCAGGCCAGCTTATTCCTTACAAGGTTAAACGGCCATTGTAGCAGATGGCAGAAGGAAAAGAGATGCAAGGGGCAAAGCCATAGGTGGGAAATACAACAAGAGGGAACAGCAGGGAAGGAAGTGAAGGAAAAAAGCAAAACCACAGGAAAAAAATGAGGACAGGATCTGGAAGCAAATGCGCTCAGGTTGGATTCAGAGCCCCAAAATCTGCCAACCAGCATACAAGGCTATGTCCAACGATGCACTGCCCTGAAATCCATGCCAGCTTCAATCAATGCTTGCCAGGCACTGGGGATCTTGTTAAGAAATTCTGACTCCCTGAGTTTGTCTTTCCAAAAGCTTTCAAGGGAGGCCAAAACCACACAGGGATTTTTCTTGAAAGCTGCTCATGAGAAGCAGCTGGGTTAACTCATTAAGGGGTAAGAAAGCTGAGTTAATTATAGGTTGGTTATGGCAATATGCACTTCTGTTCTCTGGGAATATGCCTGCTCTCAGATTCACAATCATCCAGCCGCCATCAGAAATTAGGTGGTCAATTCAGGAGCCAGGCTTTTCCACAGAAATCCTACGTGCAAATGCTGTTGAGAATGGTGGCAATAACAGGACATCAACCATAACGCTTCCAGGTTTCAAGGCTGCAACACAGCTCCAATTGGGAAAGGTCAACATTTTCAACGCCATTTGCAAGAAGGATGGAGACTCATCATGGGAGTGTAAAAGCATATACTAAGTACCCCTAAAGCAGCAAAAAAACCCAAACAAAAACAAACAAAAAAAAAAAACACCAAGGGCTCTGCTATGGGAAAAAGCTCCGTGGATTTATCACCAGTCCTGGATGTCAATACAAAGCACTGCAACTTTTCCTGAGGTCTACATGGAGATGGGGCTCCAGCTACTCTTACCCAAGTGAGATATATTAACGTGGGTAATGCAAGATATACAGAGAATTGCCTCGGATACATGCTTCCTAGCATTATCTCAAAAACAGCAGCAAGTCATAGAGTAGGGAAAACTATTAGCAAAGGCTAAATAACTCAAAGGAATGTTATTAGGATGAGACCTATCCCAGTCTTATGCTTGGGTGAGCCATCATGGTGCTTCCCATTAAGGCAAGCTCACACTCTTGATCCAACACTAAATGCATTGGATGCAACCTCAATGCCACCCACATCTACTTGTAGAGCACACAAGCTTCAGTTCTTTTATTTAATTGAAGTTGCTCAAAAGATCCTTATTGTGGGCTCAAACCAAGCTACAGGACAGTATCCCCACAGCTCCCTTGAAAGTAAACTAAGAGTGTTTCTGAATCCCTCAGCACAGAGACCACCACATACCAACAAGGATGAAGCTGCCTCCTTCACTTGAATCCCATCCTGCCAGATTGAGCCGAGATCTTTTTCTTCTGCAACCTCATGCCTTAGAGAACTTCTTGGACAGAAAGAAAAGAGAAGACATGTTTTTTCCAATTAATAAAAAAAAAAAACTATTTTAATAATAATAATGATTCCAACCTGGAATAGGCAAAGTCCCACAGCTCCCATCCCCTCCCCATAAATGCCTTCAACCCTTCCATCCAGCTAAGGAGTTACCTACTGATGGTGTTCTCCTGCAGTGGCTTCTCCTTGACTTTCTTCTTCCCTTTCAGTACAGCAGCCTACATACCAGGAGAAAGGAAGAGAGAAGTTAATGCAATGAGTTTAGTGCCTGTGAAACACCAAGGCACACACAAGAATCATCTCCACTGCCCAAGTATAAAAAAGGCTGTTAAGTACCTGCCCCATGCATGGTATTTCTTCTGGTTGCTCCTTCACCTGAGTTGTCTTCGGCATCCCCTGCCCCTTCTCCAACTTGCTCTTTTGTTTTCTGAGGATGATAGCAAGTTTATCCCATAGAGGCCAACCTCTGCAAACGCTTTGGTGACAATAACCCACCATACAGCTGCATTGCATAACCTTACTAGAAAGGAAATAACAACAAAAACACTCCCCAAAAGGACAGTTAATGAGCTGCCCATTAGAACTAGTTACAATAACATAAAAACCCAAGCCCCACCAAGGTGCCCACCGACTGCTGCTGTCCTTTGTCTTCTTGGTCCTTGAGACCCCCATGGCTTCATTGATGTCTGGCTCTTCAGGATGGGACACAGAGTTAAGGCAGCATTCCCAAAGATGTATACTGCAACAAGATGGAGATGAGTGACAACACCCCAGCAATGCTCTCTGGGGAAACCCTACTGAGCGCTTGCTCTGTAGCCTAACTTCCAAAAGGACCATGAAGCAGCAAAGCTTTAAGCTTAGCTCCTAAAATGTTGATAGCTTCATTTTCAATGCTCTGTCCCAAAATAAATCCCCACGTAACATTAATAGCTTCATAAAAGTAGACAGGGACTGTGTGCTGGGCTGGATTTGCACCCAAAAGATGCAACAGAACTTACCCATAGCACCGAATATACCCAAAAAAATGATCAGAGCCAAAACATAATAAAATATAGCAAACATGCAAGTGCACAGTTTAAAATTTGACTTTACAGTTAGGATACCATCTCCCCTCCTTTCCTCTGCTGGAGCAGGCAAAATCTCCCTAAAAATTATTGCCTCCCCCTGAAACTCAAGATATAAAAGAATGCAAGAAATAAAGTTCTGATTTCAGCAACATTAAGGTGACTCAACCATGAAGGTCCTTCCCATCAAGGAAAATAGTGAATTTTCTAAAGACTGAAGAGCAAGCTGTAAAGAACCACAACATACCCTAAAAAACTCTCTAAGAAATAAGAAACACTTTGAAGACTTCTGTTTCACCAGCTCTTCTAGAACTGCGAGGGCTTACATTGCTGGTAGGACTATTTTCATCCAGCACAGGGCAACGTGCTCAAAACCACTCAAGCTAGAGAAAGCCTCAACCTCCTCCCACACTACTCCCCAAAAGAAAATAACCCCAATGAAGTCAGTTTATTTTAAGACTTTCTTGGTCCTGATTGGAGGCTGCCAACCTAAAATGCACCTGGGGAAATGAAGCTTTCAGCCCCCAAAAGGAGTTTAAGGAGAAACCGAGCAAGAATGCTTTCAGCAAGGGGTCAAAAGGACTTGGTATTACTTCAGAAAAAAAACAACCTTATGCAACTTTTTCTCTTCCAGAGGATTTCACCCCTGCTATCAGATAATTAGAAGTCTAAACGCAGTTTTTCTCTCTCAATTCTTACCCATCAGAGCCCCACGGTTAAATGCAGAGAGTGTTTAAACCCAGGCACGGGGTGCAGAGCTTGAAGTCTCGTAGGTACTTCCGGCCATAACTTTCACCTTGAAGCATTCACCCATGCTGCTCCCTCTCCAGTCCTATTCAAACAGGTGAAACTATTGATTGCACCTGCACTCATTCCCATCCAATACCTCTTTGCAGCTGAGGATCTCCTCCTTTGCAAAGGGGTCTCCTCATCAGCAGCACATGAGCTTGGTGGAGAGGGACTACAGGTGACTCAGAACACTTCCATCTCAGTTGTGGTGCTCATGGACGTGATCTTTGTAGTTGTAGGTTGATGGTTGGACTTGATGATATTCTTTTCCAGCCTGAATGATCCTACGAGCACTTTGCATGGCACAAAAAATGACCTTTGCCCCAGTTTGTTTTTTAAGGAAATTTTTACCCACTGTCCCATATTCTATGATTTGGGCTAGTAGCTCTTCCACCATAAATCTGGTGCTAAAAGGGATGTGGTGTAACATGGTTTTGGTCATGGTAGATTGATGGCTGGACGTGATGCTTTTAAGAGTCTTTTTCCAATCCATGTTACTAAATGGGCATTTTGCATAGCAAGGTACGTGACCATTGCCTACCAATGTTAGGTTTGGTTTGGTTTTTAAGGAAACATTTCAGCATCACCCCATATATGGGTAAATAGCGGAGCCCTGTGTTCCCTTGGGAAGATGCCGAAGCGGAAACACCCCAAGGCAGGGCTGGCTCCAGGAGAATCCTCTTTGATCCCATTGCGCCACATAGAGAAGAAGCACCTAAGCCACCTTTCTTGCTGGATGAGTAAAAGTCATCAAGGGGTGGGAGCCTGCCCCAGGGCAGGGAGCAGGAGACAGTGGCATGCTATGGCTTGTTTGCTCTTGGAAGCCTTCTGTAAGCTGGGGACCGGTGTACATTCAGGTTGTTGGGGTTTTTTTGCGCCTATATGGATTTATTTAACCTCAATGAGGATTTCTCTTGAGATCTCAGTGCTGGTTGTGTTTTCTGTGATGGGAAAGGATGGGGTTTGTAGGGTAGATAAGCTGAGAAAAAAACCTTTTCCAAGCCATAAGTGCTCTAATTTGCATATCTCTCTTCTCCGAAACAAAATCCATGTTAAAACTGGATATATATTACTTATTATTATATGGTTTCCCATTGCACTTTTTGAAATGGGAGCAGGATAGCATCATGTGGGACTTTTCAGTGGAATCTCTGCATGGTTTGGTGATGCCACTGTGCTGTCACCCTGTTGGTGGCAATGCCCTCATGACGTTTCAATCCTAGCTAACTTCCTCATCAGCAAAACATGGAACAGAAAGAGAAAATCCCAATGGATACAGTGCATGAGTGCAGGGAATTCCTTTTCCCACATGCTCCTTGGCTTGTGCATGAGGATTAAAGCATTCGACTCTGCTGTGATATTCAGCAGAAAAGGCATTGCTGCCATTCCAGATTAAATGCTGTTTTCATCATTCTGTTCCAGAAGCTCTTTTTGGATTGGGAAGCCAAATGAGAAAACCCCATTATAACCCATTGCTTTCCTCAAGACAGCATGAAACAGTCATAGCCTCGACAAGGGAAAATCTTACAGGAAAGGCGGATAGGGTTTAGTTTACTTTGGCTGTTATGCAATGATCTAATACACACTAGGCTAACATTTCCCTTCATTAAACAGCTGATTGGAGTTGACGTGCATAGGACTCATTGTACACAAGTGCACTCTCATTAACTTCATTATAGAAACAAAACCAGGAGTATAAGGGACCTTTTGGGATGACACACGCATCGCTGTGATGGATGCCACATATTTAAGGATCCTAAGTGCAACTGGGAATTATCATTTTCCAACCTCTCGGTATTTTCCATGACATTTTGCTGCTTTTCATCCAGCTCGTATACCGTGGAAAGCAAAACGCTGACATTTGTTAACCACGCGGCTCACAGAGGTGAAAGCAGGGCAGAATTTGCTTGTGAAAATTATTAAAAAAAAAAAAAGAAAAAAAAAAAAGATTTTATTTCATTTTTAAGTTCTTTTGCCATAAAAATTTTTTTTAAATATTTTCTTTCTTTTTAAAATTATTTTTAATTTTTGCTGTAAAAATAATAGATTCTAGCCATTAAAAAAAAAAAAAAAAAGAGTATTCTATTTCAGTTTTACTTGTTGTTGTCTATTTCAGTGGTACTTTTTGCTGGTGTAGGACGAAAGCCCTGCATGATGCAGCTGTTCCCCCATCCAGATGTGCCCAGGGGCTCCCAGATGCGCACAGGGGGGCGGGACGAAGCGCTCAGCGAGGCCCCGCCTCCCCTCGCGTGACGTCACAGCGTTCTAATTCCCACCGTTGCTACGGGCGACGGGCTCCCCTTTCCCCCCTCCCCTCCGTTCTCCTCGCCGCCATCCATTGGACGGCGGCGCCGCCCATCCGCTCCGTTCTATTTTTCTATTGGCTACTTCCTCCGTTCGCCCCGCCTCGCTGCCTTGCTTATGCTCCGCGCCGCCCGGCGTTGCCCTCAGTGTTGAGAAAAGAAGAGGGGGGGGGGGGGGGCGAGGGGTACAAGGGGAAAAGGGCCCCTGGGGGGAAGCTCCCGGTGGGAGATTTGGGGCTGCACCCTCCCCTCGGAAATGATGCCTCCTGCAGAGGACGAGCAGAGTACGGTTGAAGGAGGAGAAGGGGTTGGGGGCTTCGCCCTTTTGCGAGCCCTGAAAAGCAGCAGTGCCCGGAAGGTGAGACCTGGGGTGGGATGGGGTTTAACGCCTCTTTCCTTATTCTCCTTTTATAATAGCGTTATTTAGGCTTAAGGTTTGGAGGGAGGGAGGTGGCAGCTCAGTCTGAACTTTCAGTGTTGTCTTAAGGTGTTGTTTAGGGTGGGGAGGGGGGATGTGGGGTTCCCCCCCTACTGTATCTGGGTGCCCTTTGGGGGGTGAGCTGGGAGATGAAGTCACCCCTAAGCCCAAATCATCACCTAAATACCTGCTGTGCTTCTCCTAAACTCAATTCTTCCCCATTTCATTTCTTTTCCCTCTTTTCTAGAAGCCCACCCTCCTTCTGAAGGTGCTGTCAGCCTTGCCCCTTTATCCCAGTGTGATTTGTCCCCTTATTTCAGCAATTACCCAGCTGGTGCCGCTTGATTAATTAGTAACAGTAGGATGAGCTCTGTCCTTAGGTGCCACCAACCCTATGTTGAGTGCCAAGGTAAGCTTGCACCCTCCTGGCATTGCTCTTTAAAGAGCATGACAGCCATAAAAGTTGCTCCAGATGACTATTAGTGGGGTTTATCATGCACCTATTCTGTTAGCAGCTGGAAAAGCCTTCACTCTTATCCCATCCCTTTTGCAAAAATAGTTTTCCAGGAAAGTTGTTTTTTTTTTTTTTTAGGGTGTTTCTGCCTTTCTGCAGCCCTCTAGCCAAAAAATAAATAAGAAAAAAAAGGAGCATGGATTGAAGGTGCAATCTGTGGATTAATCTGACCCTGAATCACTCAAGCCACTGCAGCTCTGAAAGCTGCAACCTTAAACCAGGCTGAGTTCACTCAGGGCTGTTTCTTGATAGCAGGTGCCAATTTGCAAAGGGAGATTAGATGGGTCCCTTCTTTCACATTTACCCGTGTGAGTTTTCCTTCTTTCAGTTTATTCTGTTTTAAAGTGTTGGGAGAGGATAACACAGCTAATAACTGCCTAGCTTTGAAGGGTTAAAACCTATTGGAGGACATGCAGCATCTCTCCTAACACGATTTTCCCTTTCAAAGAAACAATCTAACGGCATTTCCTATTAGTACTATCAATTTTGAAGTACACTCTCAATATAACCAGCATTTTTTTCTTTCACTCAGACTGTGGGTGTAGCCTCACATGTTCATTCTCTCATAGGGCAATCACAAATGTGCTATGGTGTTGCTTCCCCCCCCGGGTTAGTTTTGTGGGGCCATGGATTTGATGCATCTGTTTCCTGCTGGCTCCATGCCCTGGCTCCCATGACACACACAGGGCACTGCAGCAACTGCATCTTTCCAAAAATGTAAGCTCTGAGTTGAGATTAAAATGCCCACTGCCCCATTTCCCTCCCCCTTGCTTTTTTTTTTTTCTTTTTTCCCCTCCCTCTTCTCCCCTATGGGCACTTTGGGAAGTTTAAAACCTTAATCCTCAGCCCATTTGTTAAAGGGCTGTGTGATGTAACCATATTCTCAATAAAGGTTTTAGAGGGTTTTAGCTGGTAATGTCTCCCACAGGAAAAACAGCTTTCAGCCAGAGTGCTCCGTGAGATTAGTTCTGTGATAAGGACTTTTCTATATAAATAGACATGAAAGGAGCAGTAGCTTGCACCGTGACTGACCTGTTGCCTTGCTGTAGCAGCTCACGCTCCAATCTGAAATGGGGAAATTGAGAAAATATTGATGATTCTCTAAAAAGAAGACTTTTAAAGACTTCTTCAGCGCTTGGAACAGCTCTCTGGGTTTTGTTTTCCCCTGTCCCATGGCTAAACCAGGGTCACTTGGCCACTTATCCTGTGCTGACCTAATCTACGACTCATGGGTTGCAGTGGGGAATAATAATGGTGGGTGACAGCTCTGGCTGCACTGCAATAGCAGGGCTTTTACACCAGAGTTGTTCTGTGAAGAAGGTGTGGAGAGCCTGTTGTCCTATTGCTAGGACAAGCTTTGCTGCTGCTGGACCACC